TTTTTTGTTTCGGTTGAATTATTTGTATGTAGGGCTTTTTCATTTTTTTAAATTTGTTTTTGTTGCTTCATGCTTCTAGAATCTCAAGACCGACACTCATAAGTGACTCTCATTCCTAACCATGGGCATTCTCTTAAAAGTCAACTTTGAATTAATTACAAGTATGATTTGTTGTGGTTAGTGTTGACCAATACATTAATATATTGATTTTTCTTGTACTATTTTACCTAACACCTAAACGTAGTAGCAGCTAGAGCTTAAGGCAACCAAAGTCCTCTCTTTTGCTTTTAGCACAACCATAACTGTTGGCTGAATTTATACAGAGATAGAATTATAGCTATTTGGTGGTTTAACGATTATTTCCTTTTTAGAAATATTTTTGCTTACCATTTTAGTCTAAGGTATATTCTTATCATCATTATATGACACGTATTTATGAGTATAACCATAGTTAACTCTTTCCTTTTTATTTGTGGAACTATGGTTATGCTGATGGACATGTAAGTATTGAGAAGAGTGATGATTATACATCTTGAGTTAAAGTGATAAGCAAAAATGCTCTCGTTCATTTAACTCACAGTACAGTCGACAATTGAAGATAAAAAATAAACCACAAAATGAGGCACACCAAGAAGTGTGCACCAATTAAAAGCACTTTTGTGTTGCATATTAATTGATGAACATGGAGATGTACAGCATGGATAGGACCATATGGACCATCTAATTAACCTGCAAGTTACTGAGATCACCCATTGAGGGAGTTTGACTTGTTTTTTCAAAAATTGATTTGCCCTACCTTTTTTTCAATATTTTTAGGTTGTTTGGTGACAAACTCAACTCAAGTGTGGTTGTTATGTAATGCCATGTTACTTTAGGAACGCAAACCCTATGTTCTTCTTGTTCTTATTTCTTTTTCAATTAAAGAAAAAGCAATTCACCAGTTAAGCTTTAAGGTGCAAACCCAACCCCAACCCCAAACCAAATAATAAAATACAAAAAATAGTATATATATACCCTAGCTTGTCAATAGCATTTAAAAAATTTCAACATTCAAGTTTTGTGGTTGAATAATAACTAAGTGATAGAGAAGAGTTGGAAGATGATAGATGGGTTTTTTTCTAACAAACTGTAATGATTTTGAGTTTATATCTAATTTTCTATAATATATATCCATTGAGGGATCTCTCAAATAAAATATTTGAAGGACACCTTTTAAGATACTCTACAATTTTTTTTTTACTGTCTAATTTTTAAAGTCTTCATTCATGGATCATCTTTGCAAAAAATCAAACAAATTGAAAATAATTAAGGCATCTAATTGAAAGCAACAAAATAGACGAACATGGTGTTTCAAGAAAAGACTAAAATAACAATCATCTAATTGAGTGGTCAAATGGTTTCGGATTCAAGTGATTTTTAGCAGAGATGATCATTAAGAGAATATCTAAAAATTAGATGGTTTGGATCATTAAAAAATAAAGTGTGATGGGTCCTACAAGGGTGTTTCTCAAATAATCTTATTTGAAGAATCCTTCAATTGAAGCTCCCTATATATATAGTTTTATTTGTGAATCATGAGATTATATTACAAAGCAGGCCCAAACAAATACTTAGTATTGTATTTAACTTGCTAACTAGTTGGTGCTTGAGCAAATAGTGACATATTTATTTTAATTGGAATAGAGGAAGTTAGGCATATGGGAATATATTGAATGGTGTAGGATGAACTTTCACTCCATAGTCAATCTAATTCCTGGTTTTCTCAAGCATTGGATGACGGGTTGTAATGTGAAATCCACATACCTTAAAATTAACTGAATACACCATATGATCTAAGTATACCCTAATATTTAAATCAAAATGTAAAATTAACTTAATTACCAAAAATACCATTAGTACTCCTAATACACTCTATCACATAACACCAAACCCATTCGAAAGTTGGCTGCAGTTGTTTACGAAGTGGGGACCACACTGATAAACTCTGCAGTGTCTGGAAAGTCGAATCCCTCAGTCATTATCCAAGAATACTAGGTAGAAGGACTTACGTATCTCATTGCATTCATGTCAGTAATGTATGATTAAGAGTCTTGAGACTGAAAATCATAGTGAAGCAGTGCGATAAGATTGCGTCATCTTCCAATATTGGTAGTTGAATTCCCAGATCCCTGTTCACCCATTGTAATTCTCTCAATAATATTTGGTTAATTGAAAATCATAGCATGTATTTGGTGATCAGCAGTTTTGATCTCCAACGTTTGTATACCATAATTATATTATACAATCTATTACAAATAAATATTTAGTTGAAGCATACTTTTTCGTCGGTTTAATCGTTTTATTTGTCCTTAAACTTAGACCCAATTGGCATTTGAGTCCCTCAATTTCTAAAATTGTTCCCGTGGTCCTTTAACTTCACTTTCGTTAGGACAAATAGTCTTGCTGTCAATTTTGTTAACTTTTTCTATTAAATGCAGGGGCAAAATGGTATTTTTATATTAAAACAAAAAAATGAATAAAAAAAATCATATCATTAAAATAACAATAAAAGAAAATCAAACGAAAAACCAACCAAAAATAATAATAAAGTTTTGGGGGAGCAGAAATCGGGATAGAGGGGGAGAGAGAGTTTAATTTTAATTTTTATTCATATTTTAATCAATTTAATATAAAAATACCATTTTGCCACTGCATTTAACAGAAAAGTTAACAAAATTGTTGGCATGGCCATTTGTCCTAACGAAACTGAAGTTGAAGAACCACGGGAACGATTTTGGAAATTGAAGAACTTAAATGCAAATCGGTCTAAGTTCAAAGACTAATAAAATGATTAACCCTTTTTCGTTTGTCTGCTTGTTCGATCTTTATTGCTTTCATTGCTCTATATCTTTGAGACCCAAAAAATGGGGCACTGAAGTAGTTACTTGTACGTCTTAGTTATCAATTATGGACCATATTTTCCTTTTGATGCCTCCAACACCTTTTCGCATTATACTAACCATTCATTGCTATTGCTAATTCTGGGTTTCACTTACGTTTTATTAGGGTTGAATATGATGAGCAGGGTGTATTTATTAAAATTACATTTTTTTCACAATATACCATTTTTGGTCATTTTATATTAGAGTAAATTAGTAATTCAATAAATAGTTTGATAGTAAAGTGTACTAAGTTAATTTGAGGGTTCATTTAACAGCACCCATGTCATTTTGTAGGTATTAGTAAATGCATAATAGATTAGAAAAAAGTACTGCTCAATTTAATTTTACTTCTAAGGTCATTAATGTTTAATGTCGTGCAACATAATTAGTTGAGAAGTTTCTTTCTGTAGTCATAATTTTTTGCAGCTACTGATTGCATATCTTAACAAGATTATCGTAGGCACTGCCAAAATAAATTCTTAGAGATAAAATAAAACAAACCAAAATAAAATCTCAGTGTAGATAAGCAAGGGCGGAGCCACACTGGGACCAGTGTGGTTCCGGGCCCCCACTCAACTTTTTTTATATTTTAAAAGTAATATACTGTTATGTATTTGTATATATATATTATTTCAAATACTTTATGTTTTGATATGTACCCACATGTATTGTGGCGGACTTATTAAGGCACAAGGAGGTAGTTCAAATTACGCTCTTGCTCAGCTAGTGGTGATGCACTCCAGGTGAACAGATTACCTTATTTCCATTTTGAACATTTAAGTAAATGTCTTTGTCCTTTGACTTTAATTTATTTTTATATTACTCCATTTACTTAAGTTTACAATGTAAATAAGGAAGTACCCCCTATTTGAATTCAAATAAAAATACTAGAAAATCGAATTCTCACCAAGCCAAAATATGAAAAATCGGTTTTAGTGTAAAATACGATTTAGGCTAAAAATGATGGCTCATTAAGTCAATATATACTTCATACTAAAATCCCATAAAATCAAGTTTTCTTATTTCATGTGTAAGGAATAAAAGCCACCAAAAATTATCTTGAGAAAATGATTATTCAAAAAAACCATTTTTCATACTTAGTCAATATTTTTTCATGTATGATATGAATGCATAAAGGGGCCTAAGGTTGTTTTTAATTTGGGAAATTTTTTGATTTTTTTTTTCTTTCTATTGGATTTAATGAGGAAAAAGCTTTAAAGATATTTGCTAAATCGCTACTCTTTGTCTATCTCTTGCAATTTTTCTTGCTTAGAATGTATTTGTCTATCCCTTTGTCGAGAACAATTATGATTGCAACCAATAAGCGATATAATTCGTGACATATGTGATATATATACACTATTTTTTGTATGTATTATGAGTTCGAATTTTTGATTCTTTATATTTTGTAAGAGGCTCCCACACACATGAAATCCTGGCTTCGCTACTGTAGATAAGTATGAATTACCAAACAGTACAAAAGTTTCGCATGGAAAATATATATAATAATTTTAAAAAAAAGTAAAAATTCAATAAATAAATAAGTTATGACGATATAGAATGATGGAGGAAAAAACAAGATAATCACCCAAACAAGAAGAGATAGAATTAAAGGGAGTTAGTTTATAATAAGTTAATCAAGGGTGATTAAGCTCATGACTCATGAACCCTCTAGTCTATATATATATATATATATATAATTGCTTGATTTATATAAATATTTAATAGGACAAAATGGAGAGAGTGCTATCAATTTTCACAACACCCAAAAGAACAAGTGAGGACAAGAGGTAAATGGGTAGAAGCCGCTTAGAGACGGCCACAAAAAGACTCGTCTCATCAGCCGGCTCAACACCTTCTATTTTCTCATCCCTTTAACCCTAAAAATTAATTCCAAAACCAAATCCTTTTTTTTTTTTTTTTTTTCTTTTTCTCTTCTTTCTTTTTTTGGGCCAAAGAAAATCGAACCCAATTTGCTCTCCCTCCATTATATTATATCATTCCTTCACAACCCTTCTCACTTATATTATACCCTAGTCACACCCATCTAACACTCTCTCTCTCTCTCTCTCTCTCTCTCTCTCTCTCTCTTCTTCTCTCTTCTCTCTTTCCTTTTTCTCTCTTACTCTCCTTGTTCTTTTGGACTCTTCGGCTGAGAGAGTTTAATGGCGAAAACCTCACAGCAAAACCAAAAGAACACTGCAAGCTCTAACAACAGCAACAGCAACAACACCAATAGTACTGCTACAACAAAAGTCAAGCGGACGCGTAAAAGCGTCCGCCGTGACTCTCCGCCTCAGCGGAGCTCCATCTACCGCGGAGTCACAAGGTAATTGTATAATACATATTCATGGATATATCCATAAACTAAGTAAGTTTGTAGTTTTTGCCTTTTCTCTCTGGTTTTTTCTTGTTTTGGAGTTGGGTTCTTTCTCATTTCTCTTTTTACATATTGGAGTGATTAATGTTGAATATTTGTTTAAGGCACCGATGGACGGGCCGATATGAAGCTCATTTGTGGGATAAGAATTGCTGGAATGAGTCACAAAACAAGAAAGGAAGACAAGGTTCTTAATCTCTTCTCTTGGTTTTCTTTTTGCTTCTTCCATTTTTGGTACAATTAAGCTATTGGGGTTAACATTTTTTCTTGTGTCAATTTTCTGCTTGGTGTTGATGATGATGATGATGATGATGATGATGATGGAATTAATCCCAACTCAAATGCAGTTTATCTAGGTATGTCCCATTTGAAAACAACTCTTCATGGAAATGAAAAGCCATTATATATAAAAATTCTTCTTTATTTTACTGCCCTTTAATTCATTTTATCTTTTAATTAAAAATAAAAATAAAAATTGGTTGGGCAAGGAAGTGAATCATTTAATATGGGATACTGCATTTTTTAGGAGCATATGATGATGAAGAAGCTGCTGCACGTGCTTATGACTTGGCAGCATTAAAGTACTGGGGACAAGATACAATCCTCAATTTCCCGGTATAATTTTTTTCCTCTCTGAAATTGGATTTGGTGGATCTCTGATTAATTAAAACCAGTTTTACTTTAATCAATGTTATTAGCCTGAAATTAACCTTAATTTTTACTAAATTATTATTAATTAATTGCAGTTGGACACTTACCCAGAAGAGCTCAAGGAAATGGAGAGCCAGTCGAAAGAAGAATACATTGGATCATTGAGGAGGTGATAAAAAAAAAAGTAGTACCTCTGCTGGTGATATAAATATTAGAGATGTTAAGTTGTTATTTACCAATATTTTTTTTAATTAATTTACAGGAAAAGTAGTGGATTTTCTCGTGGAGTTTCAAAATACAGAGGCGTAGCCAGGTAATTTTCATTAATTTCATATTCAATCATGTCAGTAGATTGTATATATTTACACCAATATTTAAATTTTATAATTAAATTGCTTTCACTCGGCTTCTTTTACATCCACTTGGGTAAAAAAAAAAAAGGCACACGTAAGCAAAGATGCTAAGTGGCCAAAAGATTGAGATGGCCGTCGCAATCTATGCTTGTATTGGAAATTTTGTGCCACTTACGTCATAGAGGTAAAGTGAATTTTCTAATGTGCAGACACCATCATAATGGAAGATGGGAGGCTCGAATTGGCAGGGTTTTCGGTAACAAATATCTCTACCTTGGAACATATGGTAATTCTCACTTTTTACCGCTTATTTATGTATTTAATTCTATATCCAAAAAAAACTTTAGTGCATGGCCTTACCTAAACCCCAGTTATTCATTTTTAAATGCCACGTGGCGAGATTTAAGGCAGCACACGTCGTGAATGTAGTCCAACAACTAACACCAAATAAATAAAGCTGTGACATAGAAAGATGTCCGCCACATAAATTCATAATGAAAAAACAACCCCATGGGCCCAAGATATAACGGGATAAAGAAAACAATGAAAACATGAAATCAAATCTATTAGTTGGGATGTAGATCACCTAACCTCAACTGCCTATGCAGCTATTCAAAATTTCATCCAACATCGGCTAGCAAATTGAATTCTTGAATTTAATATTCCTCTTTGGGATCCCACACAAATTACGTACACTTTGAATTGTAATTTCGTTTTAAATTTTGTGTTTGGCAGCTACCCAAGAAGAAGCAGCAACAGCATATGACATGGCAGCAATAGAGTACCGTGGACTTAATGCTGTCACAAACTTCGACCTTAGCCGTTACATCAAGTCACTATGCCCAAATAATCAAAATGTTCCTAACAACCCTCAACCAAACCCTAATGGTGACCTCGGTCCAACGCAAAACCCTAATTCGAATTTAGGGTTAGGGTTCATTCCTAATTACCACTCGAGTTCTAGTAGCGCTAGCGAGTCAACGGTAGCTTTGCCAAGGCCAGGAAATGGTGCCTCAGCGTCATCGGCATTAGGGCTTCTTCTACAATCCCCTAAGTTCAAGGAAATGCTTGAGAGAACCTCAACGTCGTCGACAGACTGCTCGTCGACACTTTCAGAGCCAGACATACCACGCCGGAGTTTTCCCGATGACATTCAAACGTATTTTGATTGCCAAGACTTGAATAGCTACGCCGAAGGAGATGACATCATTTTTGGTGGCTTACACTCGTTTGCTTCACCTGTTTTTCATTGTGAACTTGATGCCTGATGATCCACAAAGTAACAAGGTTGAACACGTAACAAGCCTGTCCGTATATGATATGGAAATTAAATATTTTCATCTTCTTGTGCATATGAAGGTAAGGATATGGTGGTTGATAGAGAAGACAAAGGATGAAGATTGATGCTAAGAATGATCTTGGTAGACGCTTCTCTTCTTTAATCTAAGGATATGAGGAAGAAGAGAGTTTGCTAATTGTTGTTGTTATTGGTTCATTTTCATAGTGTAGATAGAGATGAATATAGACATTCATTTATCAAAATATTTCTTTCAATAAGACAAGTTCAGACTGGCATTTAAGAGCCGCACTCCTATATATTTTACCTTCTACATATATGAAATATCTTTATTTCCATTACCCTACTGTCTTTCATCTATAGGGTCATACCAATTAGTAAAGTGAGATCTATACTTGTGCATTTAGACATGTAGGGCGTGCTCCTAAGTCCTAACATACCTGATCACATTTATGATGTAACACAATGAGAAAATCGAGAGTCAAACTCTTATTAATTATGAGTAGTTCGAAATAACAACAGAACGAGTGTTCTAATTATATATCACCCCTCAACGCATTTAATTGACATTTTGTGAACCTTGTCAAGGAAGTACATACAGCTATACATCAGCTAGCTTTTGCAACATTAGACAGCGATTGAAGAGAATGCAAAGTTGTTCTGATTGGAAGACCAATTTCCCTCTGCGATGTTATTGTCCTCCAATAGGGCCCCATATGTACATCGTACGGGCCATGGGAACATGGTCGTTAGAGGTTGGGAGCTATAAAAGTTGACGGCAAAGCCAACCCCATGCGTATATAATTTAATTATTTGGAGGTGGGAGGGGAGGTTTTGACTTTTATGTCTTTCATATGTTGTGACAATTTATTATCATGAACAATTAGGTTATTAGGCACCGAACCTTAGTCATATACTTGCGTATGCAGATTCAAATTACTTCTTCCAATTAATTATATAATTATGGAGTTTTAAATGAACATTGATTGATTTCAACCAAAAAAAATATGATTCTGTTTACAGTTGGTTATATAGTTGAGCAGATTCGAAGTAAAGTTAATGGATTAATTGGCACGACCAGTTTTATGGTTGAGCAGCCAAGGTCCAATTCAACCGACATGTAGCTCTTGAGACTTTTGTGCACACAAGTTCGGAATTATAGTAATTAGTAGTGGAATTTCCTTCATGCTTTTTATTTTTTAATTTTATTTCAAGTTTTATGTAGGACCACTGAGAAGGAGGTGTCTGCCCCACCGATGGGGAGACAAAACACAGAAGCACAAGTTCTTTGACTCTCTGTTTGGATGAGGGAAAATAACTCAGAATTTAAGAGGAGAAATTGACAATTCCCTTGTTTGGCAACTTAAGCACGGAATTTATTAAATGACGCGCGAAAAAAATAATGGAAATTAAGGCATCAAATTCCTGAGTTTAATTTCCACCAAAATAGGCGCCATTTCACAATTTCCATAATGCGGGAATTCATATTTTCCAGTGTGTCAAAACTTACAGCAACAAAAAAAAAAGCCAAACTTTTCATGAAAGAATAAAAAATAAATAAATAAAACAACGCCAAAAACCTATGAAACCCTGGACAACAGATTGCCTTTATAAAAAAAAAAGAGTGGTGATTTCCCCACTCCTTTTTCTCCTATTTTATCCACTTACACTCCTTTTTTAGTTATTAAAAAGGAGTGTAAGTGGATAAAATAGGAGTGGGGAAATCATTGCCCAAAAAAAACTGTGAGCTAGAGAAGTAAGGAGCATCATAAAAAAGCGGTGAGCCAGAGAAGTAAAGAGAAGGAGTTCTTCTTGGGTTACACGTCTCTCTGGATCAAGTTTGAAGGTTAGTCTTCAAGCCTTTCTCTCCTTCAATTTATATTTTTCTATTTTAGGGTTACCATGGTTTCTGAATGGCTATCAAAATTGGGTGTTTCTGACTAAATTTATGAATGTGTTGAATGGGTTTTGTGATCTTTGTGGCACTATGGCTGAATTTTGGGAAGTCTTGACAAAATACTCTATGTCCATGGATATTGGTGTGTGATTTGTGTTTATGGTACAGCTCTGTAGTTGTTTGCTAGCTTTATCACTTTGTGTTACCGCCTTGCTCTGTAGTTGTTTGTTAATTTTATCGCTTTGTGTGAGCCATTAGATGTTGATTGTAAGCTGCACCAACTTGCCCATAAGCTGCAGCTTGACCAAGGTGCTCCTTGATTCTTTGGAATTTTATGTAATTTGCAATTCCTTCATCCAAACGGAGTATGAGAGAGAATTGCATGCAAAAAAGGGAATTTGCCCAAAGTTGAAAACTGAAATCTTATATAGCATTTATTCATGTAAGCAAGGTTTAGATTCGATTTTTTTCCTCTCCTGATATTATTTGTATGTAATGGCGGATCTATGAATTTTTCAGAAAAGGTGCAATATTTAAAAATATTTGCAAGGGTCTCAGGCAAGGTCCTGGGTTCAAGTCTTAACATCTATGTAGTGTGTTTTAAAAAAAAAAAAAAAGGGGGCTAAAAATTCAAAAAATAATTTAAACAACCTAATGCCCTTAGAATTTAAACAATACTAATGTCATGCATAATTAAAATAAATAGAGTTTTAAGTCTATAACTAATTGATTATAGTCTATTTGGAATATCAATTAATATGAACAAAATCCAGATCAGTGACACAATTAGTTTACCAAATTTCATATAAGATATGAACAAAATCCATGTCAATTACATAATTAATCTAACAAAAGTCAATACCAATTAATCTAACCAAAAAGCACATGTCATTTGGAGGTCACGAGATAAAAGTACACGTGAATAAAAGTTCGGGATAATTTTCAGTGAATTTTTCAGCACACATATGAGTTTTTAATGAATTTTTTTAAGTTGGGTCAATTAGAAATTGACATGTGTTGGCTCGCTATTAGACCATTTAAAAAGAATCAAAATGAGAAGTGCTAGATTGACTCAGCTTCAATTCTAGAAAACCTTCGAAAATTCATAACTTTGGTTGTGGGGCTCCGATTGATGACCCGTGTTCTGTTACATGCTCGTGAGATCGAGCCCAACAATCTAAGGTAAATATTTAGGGTCTCACACAGCAGCAAACAAAATAACTTCTTTGAGGCATTTAGTCGAACAAGTGTTGGGCGCCAGCAAAGGGGCAAATCGCCGGAAACTTTGGCCATGGTCGCTAAGGTATAATCGTCCGGCAATACATTACAGTTACTCATTTCTCTGAACATGGCCATTAATCAATGAGTTCCATAAATACACACTCTTGGGCTCAACAGAGTGGAAGACCAGATTCGACTTGGTTGGGTTTCCACAAAGAGCATAAGCAGAGATGAGGTTTGTGACAGAAAAGGGCTTTGTTGGAGGCCATGAGTGAGAACTTGAGCGTGAGCTTGTTGAGTGAATGAAAGCGAGCGGTGGGTAACTGAAAGCTGAAGAAAATGGTGGAGGTTCAAAGGCTGGTGGAGCACAGTGGCACAAGTGTAATAGCGTGAAGTTATGAGGGTAAATGTCTTGCGTGCAAACGAGAGGTTCATTAAGCACAAGGTGGTAGTTTGAATTTGGCGGGGAATTTGGAGTTCTGAAAGGAACTCTAGTTGAATGGCTAATTTGTTGAGGTAAAAGAGTAGGCAAACTTCATTTGTCTTACACATCAGCATTTATATGCTCCAAAGGAAGAGACAAATGAGTAGGCAAAATATATCTACTCTTCCCAATAAGGCAATATTTGCCTACTACAAAGTGAAGATGTATATTGGGCCCCACTTACTTTTAATAATAAAAATATCATCCTCACTCTCACACCTATTTTCTATAAAATATAATAGTAAATGTAAAAGATAAAAGTAAATAATATAATAATGATTTGTACACTTGCATTGCCTAGTACCTTAGAGTGACCAACTTTTTTCATGAGGCAAATGAGTAAGCAACATGCCACCTAGGTTGTTATAGTACAATCTGGCACATTTCATTTGTATACTCCCTTAGGGATGCTCTTACTTGTCTTTTAAAATAATATTTATTATATGTTTGTTATTATTATTTATTGATGACTTATGGGCTGTAATTTGTGTTGGCTGTTCTTTTTTATTTGTTTCTTGGGTTTATTTTTGTTTTGCTTAAGTTAGGAAAGGGGAAGGGGTTTTTCTCTCACACACTAGTGTCATGTGATTCAAACCTAAGACCATTAATCTACAAATGAATGCCCTTTTCCACTCGGCTACCCCATTCACAAAAAATATTTTCTTCTTGCGTTGTCTAGAGTTATTCTATGGTGAGGGTGCCATATATTGACTATATATATGAAACCTTCATATTAGCCACATGATTCATTTGAATAGTAACTTCACGTAAGTTTAATGAAATGATCATGTGGCTAATATGAATGTTCACATGAAGGGTCCATATATGGCACCCTTACTATGGAATTTCACGCATTGTCTGTTCTGGCTTTGCTCTCACATGTAGGGGCAAATCGATAGAGGCACAAGGAGGTGCAGATGCACCTCCCCTCGCCTGAAAATGCATTGGAGATGCTGGAATTTGCACCTCTGCTTGTGCCCACCAAGTGTTCAATTAAAAGCCTCAAAAAGGCTGTATTGTTGCTGCTATGTGAGACCGTGAATATTTACCTTAGATTGTTAGGCTCAATCTCACGATCATGTAGGAGAAAATGGTTCGTCAATTGAACCTCCACAACCAAAGTAATAAATTTTAAAAGATTTTGAAATTTTTTCACTTAAGGTGCAGACCAAGGTCGAAGAAGAAGACGATGCAATGCGTTTGTAGTTAGAATCCTGTGCTTCTTAATTACTTTTTAATATAGTCAACTATCAAGGTGCCATGTGTTAAATTTTAACTAGACTAACTTTGAAAATTCATTAAAAAATCATCTATGCTTCGAAAAATTCATCGAAAATTACCCAACTCGTAATCACATGTACTTTTATCTCGTGAGCTCCAAATCACATGTACATTGGATAAGATTAATTGGTATTGATTTTGGTTGGATTAATGGATGATTTCATATGAATTTTGGTAGACTAGTTGTGTAATTGACATGCATTTTGTTCATATTTGATATGAATTTTGGTAGATAATTGTGTAACATGAATTTAGTCCATATTAATTAATATACAAAATAGACTATAGACAATTAGTCTTAGAGGTAAAACTCTTATTTATTTTAATTATGAATAATATTAATATTGTTTAAATTGTACAGTCATTTGGTTCAATTTTTTTTTTGGGGACCTTTTAGCCTTTTTAACATTGCCCCTTCCTTGAAAAATTCACGGATCCGCGACTGCTCACATTAATCTCACAAAATAGACAATTCAAGCTTCCCAAGTGTGCATCCCAACATTGAACAGCCATTGGCTATATTGCAGGATACAATTTCTTCATAAAGTAGATTGGAAAAATTACAAACTGTACAGTAGAATCAATACAGAGAACAAGATCATTTACAAGTTTGGTTTAATTTATTAAAAAATCAACCTATAACCTATGTACAGTAAATACAGGTCCCAAATTCAAATGGGGGAGGGTCCAACAAGTACCCTGGCTATCAATACAACAGCTATGCCATTTGATTCTATAAGAACCCACTGGAAAAGCAGAAACATCAAGCAAGCAATTTGAGAACCCTTGCCCTCTTTCATTCACTTCGAAACACACGAACGAATTTACAAACTCACCATCATTGTTGCCCCTTGGACGCTTATTACTCTTTTTTGTACTGCACTCTGTTACATACTGCAACAGCTTTTCATTCATCTCTATCATGTCATCAGTTTCACAAGCTTGATAACTACCCTGGTTTTGCTGATTGTTTACTCCACTTTCTGTTGGTTCCTGAAAGGATACTCTACTGTAGAGCACGCAGTACAAGTTTTTCAACCGGACTGGGATATCTGATGCCACATTTCTTAATTGAAGACACAGATTTAATGACAAGCTGAAGCCTGGGGAAACATATATTCCATCTGGGTTTCTAGTTTCGTTGACAGCAAAGAGTTCTGACCCACAGCAAGGCCTGAAATTTATGTAAATCATAAACATTAGAATGATGGTGTAAATGGAAAAGAAAAAATCGTATAATCAATAATATGATGTTAATAGATAACCTAACAAAAATTACAGAGTTAAAACTGGATAAAGCATGTGATATGCATAGAGAAATTCTCTTATCAGGAAGTATCCCTCTTAAACATACAAATCAAAAGGAGGGGCAGCTAAGGTTTTCTACTCTCGGTTTGTCCTCTTCCTTTTTACTTTTCATTCCATTACTCAAAATCAAGGCCAAATGATGTTGAGAAATCAACAAAAAGATTTTCTAGTTAAAATAAACAGTGTGACAGTGTACCTTAATTTAAAGAAGTACTTGGGTGCACGGAAGGGGATTTGCATCCATTTCATAAGAACGTCATACAAAAGCTTTAAGCCATCCTTGGGTAATTGGGATAGTCCTTCCTCATTATGCACTCTGTTTGCCTTACTTTTCAAGCCAACAATCCCTGAAACCGTATAATTACAAATACTAAGAATATCTCTTGCTTCAGAACCAATCTTACATGCTTGGGTTCTTGACTGCATGTGAAAACAATCCATGGGATTTCTACCCGCCTCCAATAGCAGACATAGATTTTTACTGGTTTCATGGTTAGTGTTCCCCAACCGTCCAACTAGATTTTGAACCAACATTGTGTCTAAATCTCTCTCTAGAATTCCCAGACCACTATTAGAAATAGGTTTAATTAGGCTTGGAATGTAGAGAGCAAATCCAGTACAGAAGGCCAACAGCGAACAACTCATTGCAAGTTCCGAAATTATTTTTGAACTCTTTTTGTCCATGTCAATGAAAGATGTTGTAACTAGATCAAATTCTCGTGCTAGCCTCTTCAACTGCAGAGATATTTGAGTAATTTTCTGCAAAGATATGAGGTATCCAACCATAAGGTTCTCAACCTTTCCATTATTGGTAGTGTTGTCCTGGTCAAATGGAATGTTTCCCAAAATTTTAACTATATCCACCACAGCTCTTATTACCTTCACTCTTAGGGACAAAATCCAGTGTTGGAAATAAAAAGTGTGGCCTGTTTTGACATCATCAACTTTTAATGTTTCCAAAGAAGAACAAAGACCATTGTAAGCTGCTGCTAGATCTTTGCTGTAAATATGCTCCTTGATACTACTCGCGGCATCTTGGCAACCTAAATCATTACTGGAAGGTGTAACATGTAATTCATGAGTCTTTATCCCTTGTTTTGGTAATAGCAGCAGCTCTAGCTTCCTCTCAGAATCAGCAAATTGAACTAATGACTTCATCCAGCAGCTGCAGGAATTAGAACGAACTTTTAATACTAACTGCTTGAATATAAAAGTCGTGGTCAGCCAATCTCCTTGACACGCTGCATACACCCCAACTCTGTAAGCAGGCCAATTATTTTTTTCTGCCAGCATCCTCTTTGCACATTCAATGGTACGAAGTTCATGCTTCATTGAGTAATTATCAAGAGATATGCCCAAGTTTCTATCAGGATTGCGACTTCCCTCACTCTCATTTACCCTGTTACCCCAAATTATTTGACAACGCAGCAACAGAGAGTAGAGTGCGTATGTATAACATTCAAACAAGTTGCTTTGGCATACAAGTTCGACCAGAAGCTTCACTTTGTCAAATACTTCGGTGGAGATGGCACCAGCTTCAGTGAGATTTTCGAGAAAGGCCACCAAAAATCTGTACACCTTAAATAGAAGCTTTGATCTGATAATTCTACTCTTCTCTCCTTTCAAGTCTACACTATGATGAACAAATGCATCTGTTTCTGTTGTCGCAACGAGATTGTTATCCATATATGAGAGAGACTTCACTAAAACAGATATTTGATCCAGCACTAAGACATGCAAATCCGGATATTCTCGGATTACAAGGAAAAGAAGATTGAACAGGCAGTTAACTTGTTGAAACTCAACACTGTCAGTCTGACAAAGATCCAAAACTGGCTTCACCAGTATGGTGATCCGATCAAAGATAAGCAAGATCACCTGAGATGGCTGAAGAGATGGACAATGCACAAGAGATCCCAGCCCTGTACTTCCTTTTAGTCTTCTTGACATATCTACCAAAACAGAAATAGCTAACAGGCTCTCGGCCATGATAGGAGATGGGGATGCATTCTCAACAACGCTTAAAAGCTTTGAAGATTCAAGGACATCATAGGGTAGATTGGGTGGCATACATAAAATCATCTGCGGAAATGCTGGAAGTGAGACAACATAAATTGAACAACAAATAACAAGTTCATCTGTATGAGCTCAGAAACAACCTTACGTAATGTCTGAAGAACTTCACATAGCATGGATGATGGAATTTGAGGTTCATCTAGTATGCTTAACAACGTTTCCACAACATATCCATTTACAGGAACATGACATATTCCTTGACTGAAAATAAAATGTAGGCATCTTACTGCTGTTGCTCGCAGCTGAAGATTTTTTTCATGGCTAAGAAACAAGAGAAGCAGGTCCACCTGCATTGAGATAGCAATAAGAATTATGGGTCAAGAATTTTGAGAGAGGGTGCTACCAAAATAGTTACCTGCTGAGATATAAGAATGGTTGACCGGGAAGCAAGTTTTGAGAGGGAAACCAGCATCGCAACCTGGTAATACTCATCTGAGAACTCTAACAGCAATTTTAGACTTGCCTGCAACAAAGCAGCGTTCAGTGAACATTACAATCTAATACATAAGTGAAAAACTAATACTCTGAATGCAACAATTACCAACAGAAGTCAGGTAAAAAAATTGAATTACAATTAAACCTTGTAAGCATTATTTGCAAGAGACTGGGAGCACCCAAGTTTGGCAAATAATCGTGCTCCGGCCAACCTTATAGCAGGCAATGTTTCCGGTGAGCTCATCATCTGAAGCAGCATCTCCAAGACAACACAAGCAAAGTCGTCCGATAACTCAGCAAAACATCCTGCTGCAAATAACGCTGCTTGTACCTCCGAAACATGAGAAGAAACCAAACTAGAAAGCACCAAGTATCGTATACTCGCACTCTGTTTAGCAAAATGTGCCCAACAGCCAAACAGACCCAAAGCCAAAGCCCGATCTTCAACATCCCCACTGTCAAACACAACCTTAACTCTCCTCAGCAATTCTGCCTGCATATGAACCCGAGTTTTGCACAAAACTCCTTTGTACTCTGTCCGTTTGTTCCTCTTCCTGTACTCAAACAGAAAGGCCTTGACAATACAGACCCTTGTGTGCTTGTCTCCAAATTCGAAGGCATTGGCAAGACGAAGAATGATGGCATTGGAGAAGAGCTTGTCCTCGCCAGGAATTAGGTCGAACAAGTGGTAGACAGCTGGAGAAGGGTCTGGCTCATTACTTAACTGTTGGAGTCTTGGACTAATTTCTGAAATGGCTTCGAGTGATCGACCTGGTTTCTTGGAGCGCAGGGCCTTTTCTAGCTCTATGCTCCATTCCATCACACATGCTACTGAGTTCCTTTCCATTTCAGTTCAAACTTCAAAATAGAAAATAACTTTAGAATCAAATACATCCGCACCAAAAGAATTCAAAACAAACTCATAATCCATCAGCAAAGGTTTACAAATACTAAGACTTCTCAAATGGTGCCACAAAGTGGATGTGCCATTCTTTAGCTACTAGGTTGCCCCCTTTCCTTTGGTCCTCAAATGACAGGATTTTTTGTTTTTTCTCATATCTCAATGGAGAATTCTTACATCGACTTCTCAAATGGTGCCACAAAGTGGATGTGCCATTTTTTTACCATCACATGCAGTCCTTTTTATAGTACTTACATATGCATCTAGGCTCACTAGTATCATCCTCACACTTTATCTTTGTAAAATGCTCCCAAACCCCTGAAGCATTCTTACAAGGCTTTCTTTTTCCTAAAGTACTAGGTAAAGGGGCTGATTGTACAGGGGTAGGTTGATGAACTTGAGTTGGTGGTGGTGTGTTAGTTGAAACAGGGGTTTCAGATTCTCCTTCCATTATAATAAAACCCTATGAAAATACAAATATTGCATGCTTCAATAACCAAAAATGTAAACATTAACATCAATAATTTCTGTGAACTACAAATAAAGCAGCAACCATAAACAAAACTAATAAAACAACAAAATAAACCAAAAACACAGCCACAATAATAAAGAAACACAACCAAAAAATACAGAAAATTACCATAAAGAAACACAACCAGCAAGCCAATCCTTTCCTTAGCCTCTGTCCAGAAAAACAAAAATTACAACAGAGTCAGACAAAAATCAATTCCGTCCAGCAATAGACAAAGGAGATACTCAGTTACATGTTTCAATGATCAATCAAACTGAAGGCACTCAATATCAGTCAACAACAATAGAATCCATCAATGTCAAAACACATTTGAGCTCTTACACACACTTGTTTAATAGCATTCCTTACACACACACGCACACGCACACACACACTTGAATTCAGACCTTCCCATCTCTCTGCTTTCAAGCTAGCTAGTAACCTATTGAATGAGATACAAAATCCTTTAACATTTATGAAGTTCTGAATAGTAATTACTGACTCTTAACAGGCCAATATTATATAAAACCAATCCAAAAAGATATAATCACTTTCATAATTGCTGTATTGTATAAAATTTTCACAACATACACATGCAAAATAAAATTCCTTGTCCCAAGAAATAACAATGAGTTGAACATGGCATCATTAATAAGATAAGAATTAAGAACTAAAGACTGGATGTTAAAAAGCCTAAGATCAATACATTTTTCCTCCAATCGGAGTAATATAACTCTACCATAAGTGGCAACAAATAGACCCAACTCGACAAAAAATATACAATCATACAATCAAACAGAATGAAAAACCAATGCAATATCTTACAATAAACACCAAACTAGAAACTAATATTCTTCCCAAAAATTTTACTATTTGAAGCCAGAGGCTGAGAATGTTTAAAAATTTAAACTATTTCCTTTATTGAACTAAAAACTCTATTTTTTGCCTTAATTCCACATTCAGCAGTTTTGACCAGTGAGCTTTTTAGGTAATTCAAAATTTGTCACAATAACTAGCATTTGACCCATCAAGCAATTTGTTATGCTTAAGAGCTCAAAATACAGGAAATTAGGGTTTAGAGATGTTACCTCAAAGAGAGAAAAATCGAGCGAGGGAGACAGAGAGCGGGAGCGACACTGAGAGAGGGAGATCGACTGTGAGAGCGGGAGCAACTGAGAGAGCGGGATCGACTCTGAGAGAGCGATAGAGCAACTGAGAGAGAGCGAGTGCGACTGAGAGAGAGCGATAGAGAAATCGGGAAGAAGTTGGCTGCGGATTTGGGGAGAGGAGGTTGAGAGTGAGAGAGACACAGAGACAGAGTAAGAGGCGGAATTTTTGAAAAAAGGGTATTCAGGTCATTAATATATATATCAAGGGGTGTATTCAATTAGAATTTGAATAGATTTTTTTGAAGCTTAGAAAAAGTACAGTAGTATTTAATTATGATTTTTAAGTAAACAATAAAAATTTGATGGTATTCAATTAGGATTTTAAAATCATCAACACAAGTCTGATGGTATTCAATTAGGACTTTTAAAATATTAGAAAAAGTATGGTGGTATTCAAAAACTTACAAATTTTGAGATATTTCATTAAATGATGTATTCCGTGAGCCTTTTGAGAGTGTGATATAAATAACAAACCCCTTAAAAAATCTTATGTTCTTTTTTTTATATAAAACCCAAATGTGAACTCACTCGTCGAGCAATTCTAATAAAAACTCAAGGAGGACCTCTAGAACATGAAAAATAATTAAGGGTTTGCATACCAATCAATTAATGAAAGTTTATCAAGCTATATATGCAATGGTATTTATTATATACTAATAAAAGTCTGGTCTATACTTTTGTTTGCTCAGGTTGGTGTATCATTATAAGAAGATTGAAGCATACTTATTTGCTCAAGAGTATCTAGGTAACTACACATCACTAAAATTTGGGAATTTCTTTTTTCGCAAGTATGAATTCGTCCTAATGGCCTTTTCCCTTATGCTTATTTGAGATTGAGTTTGTTTTCTGTTAGCCTACCTGATCAAGTTCATGGTTGAGGCTGGTGGTTTTCTGTTAGTGCAGGTTTGTTGCTTCTTGCCCCCTTCTTCACTAGGGACTTGTGTTCTTACATAGAATTATATGGTGTGAGGCCTTATCTTTTAACCGTTAGATTAAATTAATTAGTTTGATGCAACCGCTAAGATATATTACCCAATCTAAGGGCTTTTGTTTTGGGACCTGCTTTTTTTTTTTTTTTTTTTTTTTCTTTCCATGGACTTTTTTTGTTTATTTTTGCTTGCTTAGACCCCTATTTTGGGCTTAGTTGGTGTGTGAGGCCTTTACTATTGCAATTGTTTTTCTTTGGGAGTGTTTTAAGGGCGCTTTATAAGATTGAACTCTTGCAGTGAGTATGAAGATACAATACAAGTACCTGAAGCTCTACCTCCAATGAAAAATTCATTATGTGAATGAAAAACACAATGGTTTTAGACATTAAACAGCCAAAAAACAAAACATACATCTGATGTAGAAAATGCAGGTACCAAATCTGCAAATCTTAATTTGCCTTTTGGAAGCTTTAATGAACCAAACCACCATATATTTTTCTTTTCTCAATCAAACCATTTTTTCGCATCTTTCTTTGTTTGGCCTTCACTTTTACCCTGCATGGGCGTTTAGTGAGATGGGGTGCAAAAGCCAATAAGAAGAGAAGGTCGAAAGCTTCTGTTCAGAGGTTGATCTACAAAACGCAGCCGCACAGAAAATTTCTCTATACTGTGCAACAAAGCTTTGAATCAATAGAAGCCAAACATATGCAAAACGCTTGGTAGCCTGTCAAAGGATATCTGCAAAAGAAGAATATGACACTCAGAAGCCTAACACATATATCTTCCCATTCTCTTCATTCGCATTAGGCAAAAGATTTCAAATATGCATACTTCAATATGGATCACCTTGTTTGCTTTTATTATTAGACATAACTACTGAGTTTCTGCTTATTATACCTGTAATCCATCACATACTTTGATTTCCCAACCCTTCCAAGCTGCAGAATTGTCTGCTTTCCGTTCTCCTAGCAAGACATAAAAAAAGTTAGCATCCCAAACCAAACATGTTTTGAAGTTAAACACTGGTTCAGTCACCCCATTGTTGTCATAAACAAAACATTCTTCTGAGAGTCTTGATCACATTGTTTCTACAGACGGATATGCAACATAAACAGACATATTACGAACATCCTAAACCGGATTCTGTTTCCCAGTAGTTTCTTAGTAAGTAAGTTGACATTTTAGATGAATCTGATTAAAAATTTGAGTCACGATTGCTTGTTGTAGTACCTCTAGAGTCAGCTGGAAATTCTTAACTGAACTTTGGATTCTAAGCCCAGCTCTTCCCCTATCTCTGAAGTCTAACTCATATTGCTTTGAAATCTGAGTGAAAATAGAAATCAATCAATGGACAGAAACACAAAACAAAACATGACAAAATTGTATGAGCTGAGGTAATATTACATCCTTTCGTAGACCTACTTTATTGTAATTGGGAACCCTTGAGCATAGCTGATGGACTTTGTCCAGTTTCTCCTCCCATTCCTTTGGGAGTCCCTTAATGTGTTGTACCTACAAGGGAAGACCGTGAAACATTTTAGTTAAGTAGTTTACCCATTAACTGGATTTCAGTATGGAACTTAATAGTACCAGACAAGATAATAGTCAATAGAAAAATCTGCTGTATATATGTGATCAATTCTTAATGTTGGAAACCTTAGATATCTTGGAAACTTTTGTGCTCACCTGCGTAGTATTCTTTAACTGCATGGATTGATGCTTGGCTATATATGCCCTCAAACGTCTGTAACTTCCTGTCCAGCTCGAAATTGTTGGCGTAAACCTGTAAAGATAAGTAGACATTACAAGTTGAGGGAGGAGAGTGTGAGCGTGTGTCTATGTGCGTTGTTTTTGACCTTGGGTTTTGAGAGAGAGAGAGAGAGAGAGAGAGAGAGGGAGAAGAGAGGAGAGGAAAAGGCTTACGATACAACAGCAAGAAGCGACTTAGACTGTCTGCTCAAGGAATTGGGACAACTACCCTGCAATTAAAACCGTATCATCAACCAATTACTGATAAACCTATTTGTAAAATTCATGGAAAGTTATCTGATTGCCACTTTTACAGGTAATAATTCATAAGAGTTCAATTTCTAACCTGATCCCATATATGGTATTTTGAACCCATGAGGTTTGCGTTTACACTCCCAATAAAACTATCATCTGAATGAGATAATATTCCCTTTACATTCTGAGCAATAGTTAATTCAGATTTCCCATTCCTCCGCTTATGGTGTGCAATAGCTAGTTTCCGGTCTTGCCTTCCCTTGCCTTCCTGTAAGTTCATGTATACCACACCAAAACAATTGACTCAGGAGTTTAACATGATTTACCTTCTTTTCAATCTTAATAGTTTAGTTTATCACAGAAAACAACTACATCCACACACAAACAGCAATAGAGAAAGGCAGGTTAGAGGAATAGGGTGTTGGAAAGTCTTATCAGAAACTCAAGAATGGATAAAGCCATGAAGTTTATTATAGAATCAAAGTAATAATGTAACATGACTACTATGTCAAAAAAGGTGAAGATAAATATTTCGAATGATAAAAAGAATACAAATTTAAAAAGAAACCCCTAATCCTAATCCACTGGGAAATATCTATGTATTTTCACTTCATTTATGTAAATTGGTTTCGCAACGTTGGGTTATGATTATAGTCTAATGTAGTAATGTAGCTTCTTTTTTAACAATCTGAGAATTGACTGACAAGCCAACTACAGGACTATCAACAGCAGGAAATGTTATAGAACACACACCACTATGGTCTAGGCTAAACATCGAACATAACATAAGCAACATCCATCGTAATAATCATGAGTACTCAATACAAGTATAAAACAATACCAACTTCAGAAAAGTATCTTGTCCAAAGTCCAGTGACAGAAATTAAGATTTCTAATCATTTGAGATTAAAGATATTTGGTGAAGGAAAGAAAAAAAAAATTGAAAGCAACAGTGCATTATAATAACATTATTGAACAAGCAACATTAGTGAAATTAATATGCTTATATGCTGATTCAAACTGAACCCAAAAGTTTTTCAAACTGAAGACAAAATGAGGATTGTTCCAAATGAGATATGCTTAACAAGTTCAAATTCCACACAACTTACATTGGTATAAAGAGAATACAGAGTACCCCCATCTAATCCTTCTGGGCATGCTTCCTTCACTATAACACAAGTGCACCTTCCTACATCCATAGGCAGTGGCCTGCACAGCAAAGACCTAAATCCACACCATACCAAATTTACACACACATACAATTAGATTGTCAACAACAACAACAACAACAACAAAAGTAAAACGTTTACCACAAACAAATTAAGTAGAGAGCTCACTTATTAGGCAGAGTAGACCAAGAAGAGGCGGGGGCAGCCTCAGAATCAGAGTAGTCCCAGATCTTCAAAGAGCTCGAATTCTCAGACCCATTACTGGGTGGGTCCCAGATTGTGGACCCACCAAAGAGTACCTTCTCAGGCTCATTCATTTGCATACAAAACTGAAGGGAGGACGGCTTCAAGGCCCTGCAGCCTGTGGACAAAGACTTCAAATTCTTCTGCTTCAATGGCATCAAAAAAGAAGACCCGTTTTCTTGTGCGACCAAATTCTCTTTGTCATTGTCCAAGGCAGCTTGTTCTTGCTTGTATGGCATGGCATTCTCTTTGTTGTGGTTTAAAATTGATGGGTTTGGCCCCAAATTATGGTTTTTGGTGTTCAAGCTGACACCTTCGCTGTAGCTGCGGTTGTGTTTCTGGTCAGTGAGAGGATTGACATAAAGGGAGTTGTACGAGGATTGCCGTGGAATTAATGTGGTTTTCTTGCATCCACTCATCATAGTTCAGAGAGAGAGAGTGTGGTAAAGTTTGGGGCTTTAATGGAATGATTGTGAATGCTGGTTCTTGGTTTTGTTTTGTGATAGATTATGAGACTGCTGGAATTTGGTTGGTTGCTTTGAAGCAAATCATCATGCAGATGGTTAACAGAGAGAGAGAGAGAGAGAGAAAGATTTGAATGATGTTACAGAAGGGAAGTTGAATCTTCAGAGAAGAAGAGATTTGAAAGATGTTGGGAAAACAAAAACTGGTTTTTACTGGATAGTGGTGTCTACTGTTTTATTATGTGTGTGTGTGTGGTTTTCAGATGTCAGATTCATACATACAAGCACAACACCCAGCTTTTTCTTCTACTACATGTGCAATAGTGGTGGGCCAATATGGGGCTTTGGGACCCACTTATGCTGAGGTGGGGCTTTCTCCCTCTCTGGCTTACTGGATTGGATAGAGGTTGTGTTTTGAATTTGAATGAAGCATTGGAAAGTGCGGAGCTTTTGTGTTTGGTTTCTAGAGGAAAGGAATTAGGATGTTTTATTTGTGTGGCGGTTGGTGGTTTAACGGTAACTATTCAAATTTTGTTGACTTTTTGTGTGGGTTGAACTGTTGATGGGGACTCGATAAAAAAAATCTGGGAAGGAACAATGAGCGGGAAACATGTTTGAATACATTTTGTTCCACTAGGAGATTTAAAATCACGCCCAATACGCAAGTGACTTCATCATAATTCTTGATAGCATACTGCATGCTTTTAGCAGCTCAATTGGGATATATTTATATATATATTTGGGGCAGATTCGTGGCACTTTATTTTTGACACAAGTTCTTGATCATTGGATTAACATATTATGAATTACTAAGATGGATTAACACATTATGAATTATTGAGATTAAATCTCACAACTAATTTATGATTATCATGTTAATAATACTTTTATTCAAAAATTATTATCATTTTATTAGAATAATTAAGATTGGCACAGGTCCCAAAACTTACTCTCTCTTTCTCCATGTAAATTGCCACATTTCTCTTCCTATATGCCCATCCTTGGGTATCAATCAAATGTACAACCTAAACTCTCTAGTAGATGCTATGGTATCTTGGGGGAAGAGGATGATGCACGAAGAGGTCAGGGTGGACCGACCCTCATCAATCCTAACTCATGTGGATGGGCTACCATGACCTCCAAGAAACTGAAGACGGAACAAGGGCCATAAGTTAGCTGTATTTTTATTTTTTTTTGTACTATGTTTTGGTTTATGTCTCTTGCTTTTATGGTTGTGTTTCTTAAAATGAAAGAGGTTTGTTGATGACTCGTTCCATCATTGTGAGCCGAGCCCCTCAGAAGGAACCAGACGACACGAGATGCTAACACCTTCGTACAAATACCGAGCCGAGTATATGGGTGCTAGACCTATGGTCGGGTAGGAAGGGCTGACCCGACCACTATGGCACCATGACCAACTTAAAGGTGCATTTAATGAGGCCTGATAGGTCGGTTTTGACAAACATCCCATCCTTATAACAAGTGTCGCCCTGCGCTTTGGTCTTAGAATAAACAGGCTGGCGATGGAAAAGGATCATTTAATCCACCTCTTCTCCAGGTGCACCTGTCACTTCGCCACCTATTTCTTGTCAGAAAGCAGGATGATCAGAAATAGAGCAATAAATGTAAAACTTGGGACAGGAAGAAAGATCTCTTCCATAAAATATCCGGGGTCCTCCTTCCCCCCCCCCCCCCCCCTTTTTTTATAAATATTAATCACCTATCTCTGGACAAAGGTAATAACTCTTCATATGGTAAAAACCCGACATCCATTATCTCTCAAACAAAAGATAGGTTCTGACTTAACCATCGGAGAGGGTTAGGCTGGAATCAACATCAGTCCGCCCTAATTCTGATATCATTCAAAGTGTGCAGATCTTCCTTCGGAGGTTATTCATACTCGAAGGCCCAGCACGGGCCCAAGCTACCTATACGAGAAGGATACACAGTTAAACAAGGTTTGTTAAAATTAAAAAATTAATAAAAACTTGAATTAATAATTAAAACTCATAGGAAAATTCCTAATTCTTTAGTTAATTACAGTTTGATCATTAAGCCTTGGTAAAACTGCATAATGGGTGGTAAGATGTGAGATAATTGCTTGAGAATAATCTACAGGGGTTGGTTCAACTAATCCATTGAACATGTTGTTCAAGCTTTCACTTTGAATAACTTGATGAACTTTGAGGCACTGAAGATATGATCTTGATAAACCTTGGAGGAATTAGGTTATGCTTGTTGGCCTGATGAAGGATGGAAATAGATTTTTTTAATATATAGATGATGGTTGTTGATTGATGTAGTCAATGGCCATGGAGAAAGATGGATAGAAATACAGCCCACGGTGCGCATGAAGAAGAGATATAGAGAGAGAATCATGGGAACTATTCATTTCATAATTAAAATAATAGTAATTTTAGGCAAAAAGTATTATTAAAAAGATAGTAATAAATAGTAGTGAGATTTAATCTTAGCAATTTGTAATGTGTTCATCTAATGGTCAAGAACTTGTGTCAAAAATAGAGTGTTACGATCCGCCCCCTATATATAGTTCTCTTATATTGAGAGATCCCTAAAAAATAGCTGATCTTTGAATAATTATCTAAAAAATAGATGGTTTGGATTAGTGAAATACGATGTGGAGTGAGCCCAACAAGGGTGTCCCTCAAATACGTTTATTTGAGGAATCCCTTAATGAAAGCTCTATATATATATATATATATATATATATATATATAGAGCTTTCATTAAGGGATTCCTCAAATAAACGTATTTGAGGGACACCCTTGTTGGGCTCACTCCACATCGTATTTCACTAATCCAAACCATCTATTTTTTAGATAATTATTCAAAGATCAGCTATTTTTTAGGGATCTCTCAATATAAGAGAACTATATATAGGGGGCGGATCGTAACACTCTATTTTTGACACAAGTTCTTGACCATTAGATGAACACATTACAAATTGCTAAGATTAAATCTCACTACTATTTATTACTATCCCTCAAATAATTTTATTTGAGGGACACCCTTTAGAGTATCCTACAAAAAAACAATTGTTTTGTAGGACACAATTGAATGTAGAAATAGTTTCCGATTTGTATAATTTTTTGCAAGGATGATCTATGAATGCAGACTTAAAAAATAGATGGTTTGGATCGTTGAAAAAAAATTTGTATAGGACCCTAAAGGGTATCCCTCAAATAATTTTATTTGAGGGATCCCTCAATGAAAGGCGACTATATATATAAACTAATTGGGTGATATATTCATGAGGCAAATATGGATTATTACTATCTCCAAGGAAGATGTGAAATGCAAAATGTTAAATTTGAATTTGATGACTTATGTGGTAATTTGACACTAAGGAAAAAATTTAACTACCTGAAATGCCAAATATCATATTATTTTATATTTTTAAAAGCAAATGGGGCCTATATGATACATAAAGTTTTAAAAGAGAGTAAATGATAGTGTGGTCCATGACTCAAAAATATTAAAAGAATATTTGACATCAAACTTTTTGATACGTTATTTTTGACATCTCTCTTCAAGCCTTCAAACCCATGTGGGATTTTGACTATTCGATTGGAGCAACTTTAACCTTTAAATTTTGTCATATCATGTCCACATGACAATTTGACATATCGGTTGGAGATGCTCCCTAAACCCTTAAGAGTCTTGTAAAACCCTTATGCAAATAAGTTTAGATGTGCAGAGAAAGGGGACGAAATGAGTTTCCATGCCATAAAACAGAAAATATAACAATAATTAAACAATCCATACTATGAAAGTCACCATTGAACCCTATCACATGTCTTTGGCATATCTAATTTTGAACGTCATTTTGATATCACCCTTACATTTGAAACCCTTGATATAATGTACATGATCAAAAGCCTTCATGACATTATCAGGAATGAGTAATGCTTCACTTACCATATTTTTATCCCACATTTTCATACCATCTTATGTGGTAGATGAAGTGGACAACTACATCAATTAAAAAGTATCAATAAATCATAAAAGAAAAGAAAATATTAATTTTAATTCATGTGTTTTCCACCTCATCTGTCACATAAGGTAATATGAGAATGTGGTATACAAATGTGGCAAGAGTAGCATTATTCTATCAATAATATAGTATCCTAGCAGTACAAGGGCACTTTGACAGTCTGAAATAACATTTGAAAGCCCCACCATCAACCATTTTGCCAAAGTTTTCGCTACCAATTTATGCAAAAGCATACAAAATCTTATTGAGTGAAGCTCATCATTTTTTAATTAGTTTAAAGATTATGAATTTTTAATTATTGTTTTGGTGCATAATACATGAGCCAAAAAAAAAAAAAATGGAACCCATATTTCTCACTAAGCATTGAATAGCCTTACCAAACCTGTGGGTACCAGATAGGCTTATGAGTAGATTTTACGTGAGTTTGGAGGATCTTCAGAGATCGGATACCAACTTGAAATGAACCCTATAATTTGGAGAATTTTATGTAGTGATATTTTATTTTTACTTTGGTGGGATATAGGTTTTACATCCGAATATTCGAGGACAATGGAGTGAATTTTTAAGTGTGTTGATGTAAATCATCCTTTTACAACACCATATGTAAAGCGTCTCTTAAACCATGACTTGTTTGTAGGGGTGGGCATCAATCGGGCCAATTTCCAAACGAACAATTTCAACAAATCTTTCAATTTCTTGTTTTACTATGTTCTACTCTATGTATTTTATTCCTCTATCTGTCGGTATGAGGGAAAGGCATGTATATGTGATTCTAACTAGGTATATATGAACCAAAGATATATCTAATTTGTCCTTGAGAGCTACCAAACTGCACTATACCGTGATGAAGAGAAGAATTGAGAATTAATGGACAAAATCAATGAAACCAGTCGATCCAAACCGTAATCGCCATTTTGGTTTCGTTTGACCAATAAAAAGTCCAATGGTTTAAAAATCGAACCGGACTGTCTACTTGTATATTTATTTATTTATATTTTATTTTACTTGTGTAGTACTCAATTAAATAATAACTATATATGATGTTGAATTTAAAGTTTGATGGACATTTGGAGTTATTGAGATTTGAATCGTAGCTATTGAAATTTGAAGTTTTATGATGGTTTGATATTCTA